GCATCCTATGCCCTCCTGGGTGCTCTCTTTCTAATCATGCAAATGGAAAGGAATATCAATCTGTTGCTATTACCTTTGAGTTGGTTTTGACTCACAGGGACCCCATGTACAACATAATCAAACTTAGCCCACAGGTGCCATCTTCATGATGCTTAAGTTCACTGTAGTGATTATTATGATGCCTTCTAACCTAGGAAGCTCATCTTTTAGCACCATCCCAGGCAATAGTCTGCTGTGTTCAGAAGGCTCTCATTAGCTAGTTTTCAGCAGCAGAACACTAGACCTTTCTTCCTAGTCTACTTGTATTTTTGCCTGAAAATTGCTGAAATGTGTCCACCGTGGGTTGTCCTGCAGGATTTGAAATCCTGACTGCGTAGCTTCCAGCACTTTACCAGCATACAAGCACCACAGTGTAGCAGACTGACAGATCAAACAAAAAACCCAACTCGAGTCAATTCTGACTCATAGCAACCCTATAGGAGAGGTTAGAACCGCCTCTGTGGGTTTCCAAGACTTCCATTCTTTACAGGAGTAGAAAGCCTCATCTTTCTCATCAACTGGCAGACAGGTAGTGGGAATATTCACATTAGCAATAACTCTCATGGTCTCTTGCCCCTTCCAAGATGTTAACAGTAGAGGTTGGAGTAAGGAGCCCCAAGTTCTCACCAGACTCTGGACAGTACATCTCTGTGACTCTGGGTAAGCTCCTACATGCCTAGGTCTTCTCTACATGGATGCTGTAAGGGGGAAATACAATAATAGACATGAAAATGGTCAATAAACCAGCACATACCACAGAGCCATGTGTGCTTTGTTGGTACCAGCCCCCAAGCAATAATGGCAGCAGTAAGTAAAGTACCCCACCTATGAGGGCACTTCAGACACGGTTCACTTCCCCACCCCCCATTCTATATCTCACTATAGACTTGACAAGTTCTTTCAAAAATAATTAATGCAGATCCTGCCAGTTAATGCTCCTGGGTGAAGGGAAGAGTTGAGGACCCAAACAGGTGCCACTTGTGAATTTTGCACCTCGAAAACTTCTTCAGTTACTTCCTTTTCATGTAGTGTAGTCGTGATTTGGATATTATTCATCTTTGATTCCATAAGATCATTAAAGCATAAAAATACAACACACCACTTTATGAGAGAAGCTAACCTTGATACTTAATAGATGAGGGTAAAAAAAAACACGCCCCCAAACACCACAAACCCTCTGTGGTAGTTACATAATCTGGTGTCAATTTGGGACTTGAGAGGATTAAGAGTAAAGGGGTGGAGTCTACTCTCTTGATGGGGTCATAGCCAATGAGACCTCTGTGTGGACATGGCCTTCTCCTGAGAATTCTGCGTGGAGGAGCTTTGCCTTCAAAGAACGGAGGAAGGCAAACAGAAAACCACATTCAAAGTGATGGACAGTAACTTCAGTAGGTGATTGGGGTGAGGTAGGGAGAGGTCCATTAACGGTGCATAGAGGAGGGGCCCCTGGAGCAGAAAGCCGTTCCAGGAGAAAGTGCCTTCAGACTGTAATCTGTCAGGCTTGCGTTGAAGGAATGCACTCCTGTCCTAGGGAAAGACTGAGAGGCATAATCTAACTTTACAAATATTAGTGGACACATATGAAATACCTGCCGTGTGATCATTTTTGGCCTTCCACAAAAATGGAAATGTCATATGATTCAACGTATGGTTCAACAGCTCCCCTCCCTTCCAAATATCAGAACACTTTATCACTTAGTCTACATAAGAAAACTGACAACGTGGTTCACACAAGATTGTGCACTTAACATGTGGGGCGCTTCTAAAGGGCAGCCCAGTGCCTGCGGGTCGTGCGCTGAATCAGTGTGTTTCCAGTGGGGCCGCCAACGTGTCTCTCTAGCGCAAGGGAGAAGATCGCCTACGAGGGGGCCAGCCCCCGACGAGTGTGAGTTCATGGGTCAGCAGTTATTGCTCCAGCCTTTTCAGGGGCTTGAGAAACTGAGTGAATGAGAAGCAGGCAGGAAGAGTGGAACTCTCCCTGCTTGTCAGGAGTCAGGTGCAGCTGCTGGTCATAGGTTTTCTATATGTAAAGGGAAGATGGTGACCCCACTCCAGGGACTATGGTAAGCACTAGAGGAGGGGTTTCCGGAGGTAGGGGTAGGAACAGGTCCAGTGCAGCTCGCAGCCTGTAACCCCGCCCCCAGCCCCACCCCCCACCTCCCGCACCGCACCCGCACTCAACACACGTACGGAGAGCAGAAAGCAGAACCGACTTTTGTCCTGCTGGAAGCAAACAGTCCACTCTCCCTCTGGTTTCCGAGTCCTCGTTTCCGACACACCTTCTCCTTTCGTCTCTCCCTCTATCACGGCGCCGTGGCACCCCATCTGTTCCCCAAACACACACCTTTGCCAGGACTAACCCTGAAGGGATGGCTCCTGAGCGTCGCCCATAGCGCGGGCACTCTGGCTTTGCGGCTA